CAGCGATGGCCACCGACCGCGCCCGTCATACGGTACTGCCTATTTCCAAATTCGGACTGATGCAGATCACCCGGCAGCGGCTACGCCCTGAGATCAATATTGTAACCTCTGAAGTATGCCCTACCTGTAAGGGAACCGGTAAAATAGGCCCTTCTATCCTGCTTGTAGATGACATGGAGAAGGATGTAAAATACCTGGCCAACCAGGGATTGCGCGATCTTACACTACAGGTACACCCAATTGTAGCCGCTTACCTGGCCAAGAAAACCTTACTTACAAAATCGCTGATCCAGAAATGGAACACACTTTATAAGACCAAACTAAAGGTTACTGAAGACAGCAACGGGCCACTTACCCAATACCTGTTTTACGACCGTAAAACGGAGGACCTGATCAAACTTTAATGGTTTATAAAAAAGCTTCCCACGGGAGGCTTTTTTATTGCCGTTCCTTAATTGATAAGAGTTTGTTTTACATTTAACTTCAATAGCAGTAAGATCCCTTGTTCCATTACCGTTCGTTTGTAAATTCATTTGTGCGAAAGCCCGCTTCAGGGGTTTATTATCCTGAGATCGATGGGCTTCGCTTCCTTTCGCTGGTGCTTATTATTACCAGTCATGTTTTTGTGGCCTGGCGCAGAACCGTATTGCATACCAATACGTCCATTGCCAGCAGCTGGCCCAAGCCGCTATTGTTTATTCTGAACAATGGCGAGTCGACCGTTATTTTCTTTTTTGTATTGAGTGGGTATATTATTTCGTATCCCTTTGTGCGCAGTTATGTTAAAGGGAAATCACTGAGCCTTAAAAACTTCTACCTGCGGCGGTTGGTGCGTATTGAGCCACCTTACTTTATTCTTACAACGGCTTTTCTGCTGGTGTATCTGGCCAAAGGCTGGTACCATATTCATTATTATGGCCCCCACTATGCGGCTTCGATGGTGTACCTGCACAATATCATCTTCCCCAAGGTTTATGGGTTGAATGATGTGACCTGGACGCTGGAGGTGGAGATCCAGTTTTATATGCTGGCACCTTTGTTCTGCCAGGTGTTCCGGTTGCATGGCAGGATGCGCAATGCCGTTTTATTCCTGCTTACCTGCATCCTGCTGGCACTGCCTTATTATATCAAGTTGCCCTTCATCAGCCTGTTCAATTTTGCGGGTTATTTCTTCGTGGGTATGATGGTGGCCGATGCGACCGTACATGGCGGTGAGCTGCTCAAAAAGTATTACCTGCCTATCAAGATCATTACCGGGGTTGCCTTGTTCTTCCTGCTCTTTGGTTATTTTATCCGCTGGGATATTTTTCTCCTGTTCCTGCCGCTCACTCTGTTTTGTGTCTCTTACGGGGTGCTGAATACGGGGTTCTGGAAGCGCATCTTCAGCTATGGATTATTCCCCGTGATCGGCGGCATGTGTTATACGACCTACCTGCTGCATAACCTGTTTATCACTTTTATATTCCTGTACGGCATTTATATTCCCGGCCAAAGCATTACTGCGCTCCTGTTGAATATCGGCTGGATGATGATCGTGATCTTTATCATCGGCGCGGTGGTTTTTAAAATTGTGGAGCAGCCATTTATGAAATTCAGTACCCGGTTCCCGGTTTTTATCAATAAGAAAAAAGCTGTTTCCCCGGGCGGAGAAACAGCTTCTGCTGATAAAGTATCCTCTTAACAGCTATCTCATGATATACATCTTGCCATAACCGTTCTTAAAGAATTTATCACCTGAGTTATCTTTCTGCTGGTCCATATCTGCACGATGTTCTATGGAATTTCCATTGAGTGAGGTAGCTACCCGGTACATATAAACACCATTACCCAATAATTGTCCGTACTGGTCGCGGCCATCCCACTTGTATTCCGTGATGTTACGGCCTATGCGCAGAGGTCCCAATTCATCCTTGGTGATCTCACGAACCACTTTACCGGTTACGCTTAAGATCTGGATTTTAAATTGAGAAGGCAACTGCGAACCTGTGATCGTAAACAGGAAGGCGGTGGAAGTGGAGAACGGATTCGGGTAGTTCAATACATTGGTAATGGTGGCTTTATTGATCACCTCAAAATCTGTCTTGTATTTAGCCACGGGGTTACTGCCTTGCGGCGTACCGGCATGGTTACCGGACCGATCGCGGCCTTCTACCGTCAGCGTATAAACATTATCCGCCAGGTCGGGCCGGATCTCTATTACGGCCTCATTCTTGCCGCTTACACCCGGCTGTGCAGGAATAAACTTACAGATCTTACCATCGAATGGCAGATCGATAACCGTTGAATTCCGTTGCCCGGTCAGCGTCACTTTCAACAGGCTGGAGGTATCGAGCGCCAGGAACTTATTATCATCTTTCAGCGTCACCTTAATAAAAGGCTTGGACGATACGATGTCTCCACTGAGAATATGCGTACCATCGAACGTTACATCCAGCAGCGGGTTGTTGCGGTCGGTAGTGATGTTAAAGGGAACATAGCCCAGGTTGTTGGGATGGTATTGTTCCGGCTGATCATTATTCGGGTTTGCTTCTATAAATAAAAAGTTATTGCCGGTATAGTTGGCCGGATCAAAGTTTACGGAAGCATGGATCGTATCCAATCCCGGTAATGGCCGGTAACGCGGGCTATCCAGGAAGGAGGTAATACCATTGGCGGTGATGATCTTATAGTTGACCAGCATACTATCCATCGGGATCTCCGTCAGGTTTTCAATCGCCACTTCAAAGTGTTGTTGCTGCCCTATCGCCAGGCTGTCTGCAAAAGCAAAATGCGCGGCGGGGTTTAGTGCGGCTTCCGGCACGGGCGAGTATAGTACTCTCCAGTAATCCAGCTGGGGCGGTGTAGAGGTAATCGAGTCTACGGTATTCCAGGCCATTCTTATCCTTGGGAATCTTGCAGCATCAATAAAGGCCAGGCTCGTGTCGCGGGCAGCGCCAGCATACAGTAAGGAGTCTGCACCGATTAGCGGTATACCATAAATAACCACAGTAGCACTGTCATTTCCCGGAAGGCCATCTTTAGCACTTCTGCGCCACTTAAGGGTTTCCCAGGCCTTCGCCGGGCCAAGTACAGTGCTTCTTGCCTGACCGGTCGTGCCAAGCCCTTTAATATCCAGATCAACGGCAATCCCTTGGTTCGGTACGGGCTGGTTTATCTTTTGTTGCGTTTGGGGCCATGACAGATCTCCCTTCTTACC